AGATGTGCAGGTGAACATCTGTTTGATGTGGAAGGTCTTCTTAGGGCCTGGGATGGGGGTGAGGGGGGAGGTGTAGGGGCAGGTGTAGCACTTGCTTCGGTTGCAGGGAAAAGTGCAGGGGGTGGTGGACCTGGAGGGGAGTGTGGAGCGGACAAGGGAGTCACGGAGAGAGTGGTCCCTCCGGAAAGCAGATAAGGGTGGGGAGGGAAAAATGTCTTTGGTGGTGGGGTCAGATTGCAGATGGCGGAAGTGTCGGAGGATGATGCGTTGGATCCGGAGGTTGGTGGGGTGGTACATGAGGACGAGGGGGATTCTGTTTTGGTTGTTATTGCGGGTAGGGGGTGTGAGGGATGAGTTGCGGGAAATGCGGGAGACACGGTCGAGGGCATTTTCGACCACTGTGGAGGGGAAGTTGCGGTCCTTGAAAAAAGAGGACATCTGGGATGTCCGGGAGTGGAATGCCTCATCTCGGGAGCAGATGCGGCGGAGCCGAAGGAATTGGGACTAGGGGATGGCCTTTTTGCCGGAAGGTGGGTGAGAGGAGGTGTATTCAAGGTAGTTGTGGGAGTCGGTAGGTTTGAAATGGATATCAGTTTCCAGGTGGATGCCAGAGATGGAGACAGAGAGGTCCAGGAAGGAGACAGAGGTATCAGAGATGGTCCAGGTGAACTTAAGGTTGGAGTGGAAGGTGTTGGTGAAGTGGAGGAACTGTTCGAGCTCCTCGTGGGAGCACGAGGTGGCGCCATACAGTAATCGATGTAATGGAGGAAGAGATGGGGAATAGGGCCAGTGTAGCTTCGGAAGAGGGATTGTTCCACGTATCCTACAAAGAGGCAGGCATAGCTTGGGCCCATGCGGGTACCCATGGCCACCCCCTTTGTCTGTAGGAAGTGGGAGGAATTGAAAGAGAAGTTGTTGAGGGTGAGGACGAGTTTGGCTAAGCGTATGAGGGTGTCAGTGGAGGGGGCCTGCGGGACAGGAAGAAGCGGAGGGCCTTTAGGCCATCTGCATGGGGAATGCAGGTGTATAGGGACTGGATGTCCATGGTAAAGATGAGGTGTTTATCCAGCCTTTCTTTGTAGCTAAGAAGCACCAACTTAAGCAACATCCTGGTGAATACCCTCTGCACACCCTCCAATGCAATAGCAACCTTGCTATAGTGCAGTGACCATAACTGCATACAGTACTCATGCTGTGGTCTAATCAAAGTGCTATTCAGCTCCAACATAAACTCTTTGCTCTTATATACCTCGATTAATAAAGTCAAATGTTGTGTATTCTTCTTAAATACCCTATTAACATGCCCTGCTGCCTTCAGGAATCTGTGGTCAAACACCCCAAGATCCCTATGTTCCTCTGAGCTTCCTATTGTCCAGCCATTCATTGAGTACTCCCTTGTCTCGTTAATTCTTTCAAAGTGCATCAGCTCACTCTTAAATTTCATATGCCATTGATCTGCTCATCTGACCAATCTGTTTCTATCCTGTAACTTAAGACCTTCTTCCTCATTGTCAACCACCCAGCCAATCTTCGTGTCAACTGCAAATTACTTATTATCCCCCCACATTCTCATCCACATCACTTATTAATATCATGAATAATAACGCACCCAGCATTGATCCCTGTGGTACGCTGTTGGACTTCAGCCTGCAGTCACACAAATAGCCTTCTACCACCACATCCACTATTGTAGCATCTTTCTCAATGAAATGTTGTCCACTACCTGAGACATTTTTTAATCTGTAGTATTTTTAAGCCATTATTATTTTCTTAGTTTCCTCATGTTGTTCTTTCATTCTCTCTTGAATTTCTAACTCCAGACTTTTGGAGAATGTTTCTGTCTTGTTTTCCTCAAGTTTTATCTTTCCAACTCTATCTCTATCCTTTTCAATTCTAATGCTCTTTAATATTTGAGCTGTTTGAATTATAAATTAATTATAACTATCATTGATGACTAATTGCTTGGTGTACCTGGACTCTCCTGTATTTTCATCAACTCAAATACAATGCCCACATTTTAAATATTTCTCCCTTGATAGCTTTTGCAGCTATTTCCACCTTTAACTCCTTTGCCAATTCTATGGCCTTTGTCTTAATCAAGTCTTATAAATCACTCAGTGTTACCCTCCTCCACATTCAAGATGATTTTAACTGCTTCCAATGTCACATTTTGTAGTATGAGAAACCTTGTATATTCCCTTTCATCATTTGCCAATTAATCACACTTTATGTCCAACTTTACATTGTCTGTATTCAAAGATCCTGGGTGAGTCCCTAAACGTTTGTTATGACCTTGATGGGAACTGTACACAGGAATTCAAGCCCGACTATTCCTTGAGATATTACAAATACATGTGAATAATTAAATTACTAGGATAGGTAACTTGCTTGACTTTGACTACTAGTTAAGGTAAAAGAAAATCACACCAAGTTTCATCAACAAACAAGAACATGAAACTTATTTTTAGAAAATGTATCCTTTAACAACTAGCAAAATGGATTAGTAATTACTAATATGCAAACTTAATCTGTACCCTGTACAAAACCCTAACACTTGCATACATTTATTCACAAATAAGACAGACTGTTCTGCAAAAATATCGTGGGTGGAAAACAAAGCTAAACAGAACAAACTTCCTCCCAAAAACGCCATCCTAAAATAATACCTGATGGACACCTGGCTCCCAGTGACCCTGCAAGTTCAGTGCTGAAGTCTCACTGACATCTTCTAATCCCCTAGTGGAACACAGGAACAGGGAAAAGGCCATTCAGCACATCCAGGCTATCCAAGGAGCATTCGATACTTGATTGTGGAGAGATCAAGGACTGTACGGTTAACACGAGAACTGGACATGGAGTGGGAATGTGGCTTGCTCCAGCTTGCAGAAAGGATCGAGCCCCAGCTCATCAAGTACACTCCCCCACCCCCCAAGAACTGTGGAATGTCCACCACCGTCCATCCTTCATCACGTGTAGAGCTGCTGGTGCCTCAAGAGTCTGCAGGAGTAGGTGAAGTTCTTTCCGCATTCGTGGCGTTTGAAGGGACACTCACCCATTTGCACCCATTGGTGGGGTATCTTTCAGCCCTGTCTACATGGACTACAAACGTCCACTTTATAATTCTTTCCAGCTCTGAAGGCTTGAAGACTTCCACAAACTTTAAAAAAAACTTTCTGTTACGTCACCCTGGGGTAAAGCACTGGAAAGCTTGGCTGGAGAGCTTGAAAGCTCTTCCAATATTCATGGAATTGGAAGAAAATAAGAAGATTTTATAAAAGCATGCAGAATTCTCCAATTAAGTTGTCCTTCAGACCTAGTTTGCCAGAAAGCATGAACCAGGTTTCCATACTGAATGTGAATGCATGGAAAAGGAACAAATTCTGTGGAACAAGAATTTAATCTACTTGGGTGAAAAAGTGATTCCTATCTCATATTCCTTTTGAGTTCTGGCAACAGTATTATATTTAAGGTTCTTGGGTAGATTTGTAGCTCGGGTCTGCAAACCAACGAACCAGCTCGGCGAGCGAACCAACCACAGCACGGTGTTAACATTTATAACCCTAACCCTTATATTGCTGTCAACTGCGGCAATCCTCAATTTGACAGCTGGTCAGTTACACTTCGGCAGATTTTGTGAGTTAGAAGTTCTTCTTTTCAGAGTCTTTTATTGCTGGTTTTAGTCCACTCACAGAGCGAAAGAGAGATGAACATCTGTGCTGGCTTTCAGGTTTTTCACAGGGTTGTGTGCAAATGCTCCTTTTTCTCAGTTTTGTGCCATTCTGCAACTTTAAACAAAAGCTCTGAGTGAGCAGTTCCTTTTTTCAACCCAAAGGCATTTGGCGCCAACTAGTCTCATAAAAATATCAAATCCAGCTTGTCCAAAAGTTCCAATGACCACACAGTTCCACTTTTAATCTTCACCTTGAAAAGAAACAACTGGTTAAATCTCTGTAACACAGCAGCCCAAACTTTAATTTTCCCCCAAGTTTACATTTTCAAAATAAAAATCATACCTAGTGTTTACACCAGCCAAGCCTTTTTCTATACCAAAATGCTAGCCATTACATCCTGACCTTTGGTGTAGCACTGTCTGGTATGTTTTCTAGTAATTGAATACAGTGCATCAAACAGTTCTTCTTTATTACCAATCTGCAAGTTTATAAGTATGTGCATATGTTCACAGCCTCATCTGTACTATAGAATGTTCCAGAGTTATACTGCATGCAGTGCAAAAACATTTACCTTATGAACAAAGACAGTGTACGATGGGGATACCTATTTGTACACTTAATAAATTAATTATAGTTAGCGATATATTACTAATCATTAAGTATGTGATTTGAAGTCAATTAATGAGATCAAAGATTTGTGCAAGTTAAATTTTCACTAATGCATTGTTGAGACTTAAGAGTGAGAGATTGAAATCGATATCTCTCAGGCCAATTGTGTACATCATGGGGGTAACTCCAGTCTAAAATGTGAATTAAACTCAACAATAACTGATAATGCATCTTATATATGTAGAGGTAGACAGTCTTCCTCTTCTGATGTATCATCAGATTATGTTGTGCTGTTAAAGCAGGGTATGGAGTGAAGTCTAGACACGATTGTCTGAGGGGGCAAGAGGAAGTAGCAGAAGGAGGAAATCAATGGCTATCCACAAACAAAACTTGTTGTCTTGTTGCATGACTGGCAGTGTACTGGACCAACATAGCAGTTTCTTCTAATGGCATGTAGGCTAGGCATAGCATTATCTTGAATTGCATCATGAACAATATGTTACAATTATGAGCAATGAACAAACTAGCAATGGAGGGTGCCTGTTTTCACTAGTTAAAATGTGGATAAGAGGATCACAGGAATTCAGATCTCACTGATTCAGAATAACTGTCAAATCTCAAATTGGTATTCCAGGGACAGTTTATGTCCAATTAAAACAGCAAAAGAATGTATATTGTCTGGGGATGCTGATTGATGTTCTAATAATTCCACTCATACAGATCCTTTAACCATGGAAATGAAATAAGTCTCTAATTGCCTGAGAGCCCCACTCTCCTTTAAAACCAGAACTGCTACTGAACGCCAAGGAATTGGAAAGTGACAAAAGTGAGTTGAGATGTACTTAAAAGATGTTATTCCTGCATTCTATGTCTATTTAATACTGTATCTCCAAGCATCTGTTTGACACCACTTGTTTGTCCACTGTAATTATTCAAATGACTAATCTACTATTGATTAACTGAGATTAATTGATGTAGTGTGAGAGTTAAATTGGTTGCTAATGGAAATAGCAAAGGGAGAAAATTCACAGAGATATCAGAGATGAAAGTATTGATGGGACAAGAAATTAGATTTTCCCCCATGGGATCAGGATTCTAAAACTACTGACAAATAGAATTTGAAATATTAATGAATATAATAAAGTGCAATGAGGGATTTTTATTTGTTATATTTTAGCAGCTTCCATTCTAAATTATTGCATGAACCCATATACTTTTAAAATTAACAGCAAAAATGCTGTAAGATTCTTGAGAGCAGTGCATATAAATAGGTTTGAGAGACGATTGGGGTATTTGTGGAGATAGTGTAATACATCAAGAACGTGATCAGATGCAATTGAAATCATTTTGTTTTATTTATTCACCAATAGGATGTGGGTGTGAAAAAATAGACATTTTTCAGCCAAGCAATGTTTTCCTCCTCATTAAATATTTTATTTGCCTTTGCTGACATTTTCTTCTTATGTTACTACAATAAGTCTAAAGTGATTTAATATTTCTTTTTTAGTAGTTCAGACTTTGCCATTATGCTGTCTCTATATAGAAGAATATCTCCTAAACATTGCACGACTTCATGTTTTCTGCAGAAATACTCTTTCTGATTAGGTAAACGCTCTGGAATGCTGAAACATATGCAAATATTAATTAATTGAAAATATAGCCCTGTGTCAACTCTATTCAGGTTTGATTCGTAGGACTGAATGTTATAACAATACTGTGAAAAAGGCTCTCAAGAGTGTATCAATCATTTTATCACTGTCACTTTATATAGGTGTGAGAGTTTTTTTTTCTTAAAATTGTTCTCTATAATATCCATTTGAGCTTTGTCAGCCTCTTCTTTCTGGGTTTCTGGCCTTTTTGTTTTCTCTGGAGCTAGCTTGGTCACTTTAGTATTAAAATATTTTAAAAACTAATTCATGTATCATCATTATTTTCTCTTCATTTCTGGTAAGTCTTTTCTATTGCATCCGACATTGGATCTTTTGAATTACCTTTTATTGATGGACTGAGTATCACCAAGGTCCTCAGTATAATTAAATGTTTAATAATAAATGATCCCTTATGCTTAAAATGCTGGATTGAAATGGGAGAGCTTTCGTATTATCCAACAGAAATTAAAGTTAGTGATGCAATGTCCAAGCCATGGGTGGAAATTGATACCACACACTCATAAACTGTAAATGATGTCAATTTTTTTTCACTCTACATTATATCAAACAATGGCTGAAGACAACGGATACTGCAAAAGCTATGAACCTTGACAACATTCTAGTGATAGTGCTGAAGACATGTGTCCTAGAATTAGGAGCACCTTTAGCCAAACTATTCCAGCATAGCTGCAACATTGACATCTGTCCGGCATTGTAGAAATAGCCCAGCTATGTCTTTTCTGCTCAGGGCAGACAAATACAACATGGTTAATATCCTTCTATCAGTTACTCTCGATCATCAATAAAGTGATGGAAGTGTTAGTTGGCAGTGCTATTAAGAGGCACTTGGTCAAATTCCTGCCCTCTGACATTCATTTGGGTCTTCATCAGACCCACTTGGTCCCTAATCTCATTACAGACTTGATCCAAACCTGGACAGAAGTGTTGAACTCGAGAGATGAAGTGAGAATTATTGCCCTTGATATCAAGAGCATTTGACCGAGTATGATATCACGCAGAGGAAAACCAGAGTTTCAAACAAAACTAGAGTGAAATAGAATCAGAAGTAAGATTCTCCATTGGTTGGGGTCATGCCTAGCATAAAGGAAAATAGTTTTGGCTGTTAGAAGTCAATCATCCCAGTTACGGGAGTTCCCTAAGTTAGTGCCCTGGACACAATCATCTTCTATTCCATCATCAATGATTTTTTCTCCATCCTGAGATCAGAAGTCAGGGTATTTACTAATGATTTTAATATTCAACACCATTTGCAACTCCTGAGAATTGAAGGAGTCCATGTCCAAATGCAGCAAGATCTGGACAACATCCAGGTTTGGACAGATAAGGGGAGGTGATGGCCCAGTGGTATTATTGTTAGGCTATTAACCAAAAAACCCTAATACTGTTCTGGGGACCTGGGTTCAAATCCTGCAATGGCTGATGGTGGAATTTGAATTCAATAAATATCTGACATTAGGAGCCGAATGATGCTTCACTAATGTCCATTAGGTAAGGAAACTGTGACTCCACAGCAATGTCATTGACACTTAACTGTCCTCTAAGCACTCAGAGCTGGCTTGGCCAGTGACATACAGTGAAGTAATACTCATGTCACACAAATTACATGCAATGACAATCTCAAAAAAAAAAGAGAATTTAACCATTTCCTCTTGAAATTCAATGGCATTGCTATCGCTGAAGCATCCCAACAAACATCCTAAGAATTACTATAAATGAGAAACTGAACTGGACCAATCATATAAGTACTGTAGCTAATAGAGGAGGTCAGAGGCAAGGAATTCTGCGGTGAGTAGCTCAACACCTGTCTCCCCTATGCCTGTCCACTGTCTACATGGCACAAGTCAAGAGTGTGATAGCATACTTTCCATGCCTGGATGCGTTCATGCCCCACAACACTGAAAAAGCTTGGTATCATTTAATAGAAAGGAGAGAACTTGATTAATACCCAACTCACTATCTCCGCAATGTAGAGCCATAAACATACGCCATCTACAAGATACACTGTAACAACACAGAAAGGTTCCTTCAACAGCCCCTTTCTAACCCATCACCATTACCATCTAGAAGGATAAGGGCATACCTGTTTTTTACTGCATTATTAAATGTTCATTGAAAATTGAAATCTATCACCTACACAGGTTCCAACATATTTACAACCTCAAAAAAACACTTTAACAGATTTATCAAACACTATTTCCCCTTCATAAATTTGTATTAACACTGTCCAATCAAGTGACGAATTTCTAAGTGCCCTGTTATCATCTCCCATGTGCCAGAGTCTTTCTCCCACTAATATCTTTTGGAAAGCAAAATCTATCAGGGCCACAGCAAGAAACAAAGAACTGAGGATGCTGGAAACCTGAAACTGAAACAGACATTTCCAGAGACAGTCAGCAGGTCTAGCAACATCTGACAGCAGAGTTAACATTTCAGGTCCAGTGACCCTTCTTAGGGACTGATTATGGCTGTATAACGATGGTATAGAACATCATCACCTGTTATAAGTGACACCAGATCCATAACAATGTGGTTGCTTATTAAAGGATCTGGCAAGCCGTTCAGTTGTAATCAACTGCAAGGACAGGGACAGAAGTCACGGGCCCCAGTGCTGCACTTGGCCCAGGCCCCAGACCCCTGGTTACATTCCAAGCCCCCAAAGCAAGTTAAGCAACCCTTCTCCCTGCCTGAGCAGATTAGGCCCCCTAGAGTCCTGACTCTGGTTATTGGACCCTGATGTACCCTACTGTCTGGACCCTCTCTAACCATTACAAAGTCTGATAAAAGGAATGAAACTGGAAGGACTAACTGTCATTGACAATGACACACACTCCTGTCAACTTTGCAAAGTCCTCTTTACTAACATCTAAGACACCAAACTACAAACAGCTGTCCCTGGCTAGTCAAGAAATGCGGTGACATAGACATTTGCATGGATGGACACCTGACAACATCCCAGACATCATCGTCATATGGATGTGATGTATTTGGAATCACTGAGACCTGGGTCCAGGGTCACCAAGGATGGAAACTCAACGTCCAGGGTTATTCAATTTTCAGGAAAGATAGATGGAAAGGAAAGGGAGGTAGGGTGGCGTTGCTGGTTAACGAGGAGATTAACATCACCTACACACTAGTAATGGAGGACATTAGCCTGGACAATAAGGAATCAGCATGTGTGGAGCTACGGCGACCAAAGGGGAAAATGTACTGGTGGGAGTTATGTGTAGATCACCAAACAGTAGTTGTGAGTTTGAGCATGGCATCAAACAGGAAATTAGAAATGCATGCAGGAAAGGTACAGAAGTTATTACAGGTAACTTCAATCTACATATTGATTGAACTAACCAAACTGGTAGCAAAGCAATGGAGGAGGATTTCCTGTGATATACGAGGGATGGTTTCCTCAACCAATATGTTGAGGAACTAGCTAGAGAGCAATCCATCCTAGACTGGCTTTGTGTAATGAGAGAGGATTAATTAACAACCTTGTGGTGTGAAACTGTTTGGTAAAGAATATAAGTATATGGTAGAATCCTTCATTAAAATGGAGAGTGGCACAGCTAAATCTGAAAGTAGGGTGCTGAACTTAAAGAAAGCTAACTTTGACGGTATGAGGCATGCATTGGTCAGGATAAACTGGCCAAGGATACTTAAGGGGTTGACGGTGGTTAGACAATGGTAGATATTTTAAAAAACACATGGATGAACTTCAACAGTTGTACATCCCTGTCTGGCATAAGAGTAAAACAGCGAAGGTGGCTCAACATGGCTAACGAGGGAAATCAGGGATAGTGTTAAAGCCAAAGAGCAGGCATATAAATCGGCCAGAAAATGCAGCAAACCTGAGGACTGAGAGAAAGTTAAAAACCTGCAGAGGACAAAGGGTTTAAATCAGAAGGGGAAGTAGAATATGAAATTAAGCTTGCAGAAAACATAAAAACTAACTGCAAAAGCTTTTACAGATATGTGAAGAGAAAAAGACTGGTGAAGACAAATGTAGGTCCTTTACAGTTAAAGTCAGATGAATTCATATTGGATTACAAAGAGATGGCAGAACTGTTGAACAAATACTTTGGATCTGTATTCACTAAGGAGGACACAAATAATATTTCAGAAATGCTAGGGGACAAAGGATCAAGCATGAAAGAGGAACAGA